CTAGATTTGTTCTTTGGTTTCTTTTGCCACATGGCAAAACATTCTTTCTGCATTTTTAACTCCATGTACGTGAAATGCTTTAGTAACTTACTGCCCATTTGTCTCAATAAAAGAATGAAGGCTGCAGATCAGGGTGGGTTGTGAAGTGTCTGCTGAGAGAGAGTAATTTTTCATACTGAACGGCCATTTGGGGGAGAAAAGAGAAAGAGAAAAAAACACCTTAACAGCTTGCAATGTAACTAGAATTCCCTGTTCCTTTGCTAGTTTATAGTCAGTAAATATCTTCTAGAAATTAATTCCCTTTGGCCTCATTCCATTTCTTCCTGAACTACTAAATGTTCGCAGAAAAAGCAGGGGTTGTAATACCTGTTCTCAGTTCTTCACTTAATGCAGTCTCTTACTGTTCCTAATATTTGTAATTCTAAAATAATTGTTTATGATTTAATAGTTATAGATTTTTTTACTGTTGTTTAGATAGCATAATCATATTTTCCAAGGTTCGCAATTTGACTATCAACTTTTCTTTTTGTTGGAATCTTGGCCTCATAATTTTAAAATTGTGAATGAATGGTTGCTTTTTATTTTGTAGAGCTGATTATATCTGTCTGATGACGTGCTCTTAGTATAATCTCATTTATAGTTATATATTTTTTTAAACATTGGGAATGGAATTTACTTTCCTCCTAGGGCTGCTTTCTTAGTCTGAAGGGGTTGAGAAGGCTTGAAGCTGTCCTGTGGTGCAGTTCCATCCAGAGGCACTCCTCTGACAACTCAAGTTTGGGCAGAGCTTGATTTCCTGCAAGCATTGTCAGACACTTTGTGCACAGAGAGCAGATGAAAAAGAAACTTGAGCTAATGATACTTGTGTTAAATATTTCCCAAAGGTAGTAGAAATCCCTTCGTTCACTTGGATGTCTTCCTGCCAGTGAACTCTAGATATCTTTTCAAACTTAATACTGGATTTGAATATCTGCACTTTCTTAGTGCTCTACCCTCTCCCACCTTAGGAACTTTATAAAAGTGGTCATGATTTGTCATAATTAGACTTTTCTGTCTTGTCTGATTATTTTCTCACAATTGTTTCTTTCAGTGTCTTTCAGCTGAAAGAAATTTTGTTTTTCCCACAGTGAAGACTTCAAGTGTGTGATTTCCCTTCTGACATAGCACAAGTAATTGTGTATTTTCACAAATGCCACTGTGGATTTACGTTTTCCCCACACCCCTTGTTACTTTTCAAGTTATTGTCTAAAAAATTATTATTAAAAGATCATTTTTAGTTTCCCAGCTAAACTTTTCAGCTGTTATTTTTGCCATTTTCACACTAGTGGTCTCAAATTTCTGACTGACCCACCACTCCTTTTTCCATATCTGTAGTAATTTGTCACTTTGCTATCCAAGGTAGAGAAGCCCTTTTAAATAACTTTTCTGGCACGTAGTAGGCTGGTGTTTGGAGAGATTATAAAGGTTCTAAAAGTGTAGATTGAAATCTAGGACTGTGCTTGGTGGTAGGTATGTTTTTTGGGAATATTTGCATCACCAGATACTCCAAATGGTCATAATGTGCTGCATTCTCACAAAACAAAGAAATCAAGAAAATTCTTGCGTGCCCACTGCAAGATCTATCCTAGACTTAAGAATGCAAGTAATGGTCTATTGGATTGCACCTTGATCCACCTTCAGGAGTGCTCTACCTCTGACAATGGCGCTAGGAAACTCATTCTAGAGTCAACATGAGAGTCTGGCCACCAGGTGGTCTATTCCCCTTGTACTCCACCAATATCCAATTAAAAAAAAAAAAAAAAAAAAAAAGGAAGAAAAGAAGAAAGAAGAACATTTCACTTTTCATGCTGCTGCGAGCGTAAAATTTTACATCACTGGAGTTGTAAACAGCAAAAACCCACCATTATTCCTTTCCTTCTGGACCTCTACTCCAGAGCATGTCTCTTATGTGAAACTACAAAGTTAAACTGAGGAAAACACTGAAAGCAAAATAAAATTATTTTGAACACTTAGCATTTTTCTACATAATCTTAAATAACACACAAAATTTCAAAACTTCTCTTAGTGACATCCTATCTAATCATGAGCATCGTTAAACAAAAATAGATGTGGTGACAGTGCTATCAGTGGCTGAACTTGCCTTCTTCAATATGTAGCAAAAACCAATTTGGAGTCAGTTTGTGAGTCTTGATAAATATGTTCTAATCTTTCCCAGCATATTTGATGTGCTTTAGAAAAGCTATTATTTGTTGCTGGTTTTTGCTGATAGTAATAGTACCTGGTAGGTAGTTTTGGCTTTACTCTGTACCTGCTGCTCTCACTGTGATGTCTGCAATGGGTTTTCAGTGTCACAGAATTTCTCTGCACACCTGCATGTAGCACTGAAGAACCTTAAACTATGCTCTTTCAGACAACCTCTGAACAAATAAACAGGGAGAAACCTGAGAAGCCATGGGAACTTGCTTCAAAATATTTCCTGATATCAAAAGACAAAACCTCTTGCACTAGTATTTAAATGGTAAGATTAAAAAGTTCTTTATTGGAAACTTCTGGGTGCCTCCATAGTTATGGGCTGGAAGCACACATGGTATCAGATTTCTACAATTGTTATAAGTTTAACAAATTGTCATATCTGACAAACATTGTCCAATTAGAAGAGCATTTGATAAGGTAATTTTTCCCTGGGTACTGCCCCATCGGAGTTGGTCCAAATCTTCTTTACCCCACTTCTTGCTATGTCGTCTCGGATTTCAAGTAGAAAACAAAATGTTCTTCTTTTAGGTTCTCTGCCTCAAAATAAGACTAAAAATTATTTCAGGATTGTGTTATAAGTTTCAGTTATAATTCTAAAATCTAAGAGAAAGGGTAGGAGAAATACCTAGAACTGTATAAGCATGTATTAATGGTCTAAAAAACTACAAACATATGAAAAATACATAAAAAGCAAAAATCTTTAGGCATCAGTAAAAGGTAGGTGATATAGACAAGACTAGGAACTTTACTGGGCACCAATCAGTTGATGTGCTGTGGTTAAAAACCCTTATTTTAAGCATGTTCCATAGTGGCATTTTTATGTACATATTGAACAAAATGTTTGTCTTAGTTGCTTCAGAGTTTCAGGCCTCCTGTAGATTTCTGTGTTTGCTGGCAAGAGAATAGAAGCTCACTGATGTTGTCTCATTTAGTAGCTTTCAAAAAGCTGGTTTCAAAAGACAGGCATTTCAAATTCCCCATGCCAAAACTTTTACCCCTTCCAATGATAATATGTGCAAATTGAAGTGAGATAGCACACTTATAGCAGCCGAGAAAAATATTTGATATTTTCTGTTGCCCAGCTGTCTTTGAAAGAAGCAGTACTTGACTAATATTTGCCTTATCTTAGGACAGTCTGTTTTTCAAATATATTATCTGATGAATTTCAGAGGCTGCCTCATCAACTATATGAGCATTTTCCTTGATTGTATCCCACATTGGTCGAAACTTTGTTTAATAAATGAAGAACCAAAAGAATGCTCACTTAAGAGGCATAAATCCTTTGCTGAAGCTTCTAGAGAGAGGAAGAGCAAATATCTATGATCATCGCCTATGTGAAATGAAGAACTTTGCTGATGGAAGAGAAGAGAAAGACCAGACAATCACAGCTTCATTTTTAATAAAAATATTTGCTTTATTTGCTTTAGTCTTTTTATGTTTTCATTTTTCTATAAAAACCTTAAATTTTATGGAGAAAAGTAGTTTTCTAATTAGTTCTAAGCCCAAAATAAATATCTTTACATAACCAAATAAAGTGGTGTTGAAATCACTGTTTCTAAATCCTTAGGTATTAACCACTACATAAATAAGACAAAATATTGTGGTGGAAGAGATTATATGCAAAACTGGTTGTTAATTTAGAAACATACTGAAATGTTTAACAACTTGTAAATCTAGTTTTGGGTTCCATTATTACCTGTAACATATACTCTTATTAAAATAGATGTTTTTCATAGGTAACTTTGACCCACTTATTTTGAGCCACAACTTAGATAGCTATGCCATTCATTCTACAGTTTGCAAGTGGAAATTTGATTTTCTTTTCTCTCCTGATCTCTGGTCAGGGTATTATACTGGGTATCGTTTGACCTTTTACAGAGAAATGGAACATTTTAACAGGAAGAGTGAGATATAGAAAAGGCAGAGCATTTTCATGAAATTATTTCTTAGAAATTCTAATGGGAACAGTTGTACTTCACATCTTGTGTGCTAGGCAAATTTCTAGTTCTGACTAGGCTCGTACAACATGTATGTGTCTATCTTAGCAGTTAGACAGTTAAGGGGACAACCTCTGAATTACGTTGTTTCTGGGATCTGGGACAACCATTGTGCAAAATAATCCCATGCAGGGAAGCCCAGACCATCTGGTTTCCCCATCTGTTCAGCTCCCACAGCCTTAGACACAGTGCCCAAAGAATCAGCCCCTAAAACTTTAATTTTGAAGGCATGTTCAGCTTCTGAGTCTCTGACATTTTCTACATCTCACTTGTCTAAAGCAGGGTCTAGGAAACTTGTACTTGAACCTGAGGAAGCAAATGGGTGTTGAAGTCCAGAGTATTCATTTCTGGAGAAGAAGACTCATTAATAGGTTGTGTTAATACCATTCCTACAGCTTACATGTGAAAAACAAGGACTTAGGTAAGTCTTGGATGTCTGCATCCAAGGCACAAGCACACTGCAGCTCTGTGTCCATGGGACAGTAGCTTGAGAACAGAAGGATTTCCCTTGAGAATCTGAAATAGCTTCATTCACCTGAATTGTGCCTCTGGTGAGGAGTGCATGTCTGGTTAGCAGTTCATCTTATGGGTCAGTGTTGGCATCCAAAATGCAGGGAATTCTCAGAACTTTGGGCCTGTAAGCCAAAGCTTAGAATCAAACACAGGATTTGATCTGAGACCTTGGAAAACGCTTCCAAACTTTGGTGCTAGAAGTGAGAATGTGGATTTATAATTTAAAGCAGAGACACATTTAGCAAAGTTTAGAGTTTTATTGTACAGTACTATACATTTGTGTGTCATAACATGATTGGCTAAGAAAGCTTACACTGTAGCATGAGTCCATAAGAACGAAATATTTAAGGACTGGGTCAAAAGCATAAATATCATTGTTGGCAATGTTTTATTGGTTAATAAATCCTTAAAAGGTTTTGTAACTAAGTCTTGTAACTTGGGACCTTCTGAGCCATGAGGTGAAGATGTGAGCCAAACTCACCTTTCCTGCCTGTGTAGAAGATAAGGAAAAGCAGCTCAGAGGTCCCGTTTCTAACTCATTCCAAATTCCTTCAGAAATCCTCACAACTCAGCGTCACTGCAGACACCTGGCCAGCCAATAGCAGTGTGGACATCAAACAGGACACCCCAGTCAGAGCACCTCAGCTGTGTCCCCTAACTCAGAGAAAAACATCTGCTTTGACAGTCAAAAATTTAGGTGGCTTGGCCTCATTAGCAGCCCAGGATTTGAAACTCACTCCATAGACACATGTGCTGTATTTAGGTGTTTCCTCATGGAAATATTGCAGGCTTTTGGTTCTTCTTCATTCAGTTTTTTCTTTCCCTCTTGAGCCATTTCAACAGGAAAACCTAATGACTATGTCCAAGTGAGCCATGTCCTTGATGAAATCGTGTTAATCATGTCCCTCTCTTGCTTTTCCAACTACATCTGACCTTGAGGCCTCTCCCAATGACAATTTACCACACAGTCTTCTGGAGACTTACCTGAAAATAGGGGGATGAAATCCTACCGTTCTTTGCTGTACAAATTCTTATTGTATATTGGGATACACAGGGATGCACCAAAATATGCCTTTATTAAGTAAACATACTTAAATATCTGTCTGAATCCTTCTTGTTCTACTCCCTGGATGGTCCTAATTTTACATTTCTTGTACAGCTGATGTTGAGCAATAGTGGCAGCTTCCTGCTGTAATTGTAAAAGAATATAATGATGAATAAATGAGGAACAAGGAAAGTATCCCAAGGGCCACACAACAATAATATGCTCTATGAATTGGTTTTCAAATTATTTGTAAGGAGGAGGAAGGATAATTAAACGTGGGTATCTTTATTTCTCTGCAACATAATCCCAAGGGCTAATTTAGGTTAAAGCATGCTCCTCTCCCAGTGGCCATGCAACAGGATTTGTCATACTGGCTTAGATCTCACAGAGTCTCAGAATATGCTGAGCAGGAAGGGACTCGCCCAGATCAAGTCCAACTCCCGGTCCTGCACAGCACCATCCCCAAGAGCCACACCATGTGTTCAAGAGTATTGTCCTAACACTTCTTGAACCTATCAGGCTGGTGCTGTGGCTACTTCCCTGGGCAGTCTGTTCCAGTGCCTGACCATCTTTGGGGTGAAGAACCTTTTCCTAATTTCCAGCCTAAACCTCCCATGACACCTTCTCTCAGGCCCTGTCACTGGTCACCACAGAGAAGAAATCAGTGCCTGCCTCTCCTCTTCCCCTCACAAAGAAGTTCTAGACTGCAATGAGGTCTCCCCTCAGTCTCCTCCAGGCTGAACAGAACAAGTGACCTCAGCCACTCCTAATATGTCATCTTCTTAGCCCTCCTTTGGATGGTTTTTAATTGCTTTAAGTCTGTTTTATATAGTAGCACCCAGAACTGCCCCCAGCACTCGAGGTGAGGCTGGCCCAGTGCAGAGCAGAGGGACAATCCCTGCCTTGCCCTGCTGGTGATGCTGGACTTGATGTCCCCCAGGACACAGCTGGCCCTCCTGCCTGCCAGGGCACTGCTGATTTATATCCAACTTTCCATCCATCAGGACCCCCAGGACTCTTTCTGTGGCACTGCTTTCCAGCCTCTCATTCCCCAGTCTTTCTGTACATCCAGGTTTGCCCCATCCCAGGTGCAGAATCCAGCATTTTCCCTTGTTGAGATCTGTATGGTTGGTGGTTAGCCAGCCCTCTGACTTGTTGAGGTGTCTCTGCAGGGTCTCCCTGGCTTTGAGGAAATCAACAGCTCCTCCCAGTTTTGAATCGTCTGAGAACCTGCTTGGTGTCCCTTCCAGTCCTGCATTCAAGTAATTTATGAAGATGTTGAAAAGCAGACGGCTGAGGATGGAACTCTGCAGAACTCCACTAGTGACAGGTCATCAGTCTGATGCCACACCACTCACTGTAGCCCTTTGTACCTGAACCCTGAGCCAGCTGCAGACCCATCACAAGATGTGTTTTTCCAGCTGTGAGCTGGACATTTTGCCCAGAAGAACACTGGAAGAGACAGTATCAAAAGCTTTGTTAAAATCCAAAAAGATTACATCATCTGGCTTTTCTTGATCAGCTAGGTGGGTTATCTTGTCATAAAAGGAAATCAGGTTTGATAAGCAGGACTTTCATCTCATGAAGCTCTGTTGGCTTCAGACCAACAGGCTCCATGATTTTTAGGGATGCAGCTGGAGCCCCAGGCTGTCTGGGAATTAATCATTCCTGCAGTCATACTTCTTCAACTTAGGGCATTGAGACCCCCTTAGCCCATCTGGTGTTGATGACAGAGGCAAAGATTATGTTAAACCTCTGCCTTGTCCATGTCCCTGATTGCGGGGAGACCATCCTGTAATGACCTGATATTAGTTTTGCACTTCCCGATGCCATTGATATATTTGAAAAAAACTTTTTATTTTCCCCCACAGTTTTGGCCAGCTTCAGCTCCAGGTTTGGCTGCCTGAATTTCCTCTCTATAGTATCTCTGTATCCTTGCCATATTATCTGGCCCTGTTTTTCACTGGGCCTTCCTTTTTTCCGTTATTTCCAAGAGAAGGCTCCTGTTCAGTCAAGCTGGTCTTCTGCCTCCCCTGCTTGACTTCTGACTTTTGGGAATTGCCTGCTCCAGTGCTCTTAGGAAGTGATATTTAAAAAGTCACCAGCACTGATGGACTGCAGCATCTGCAAAAAATGTTCCCGGGGACCTGACTCACTAATTGCCTGAGAAACCTGAGTCTGCTCTCCTCATATACAGAGCTGAGGTTTTGCCAGCACTTTCCCTCCTATTAACAGAGATTTTAACTCAATTCCTTCTTGGTCACTGTGGCCAAGACAGCTGCCAGTCTCTACTCCGCTCTCAAAATCCACTCTGTTGACAAGCAGCAGATCAAGAAGGTCATCTTTTTCAATTGCTTCCCTTAGGACTTGCTCCATAAAATTGTCATCCAGGTTTTTAGGAATCTCAGAAGAGAATGAGGCATCTAAGCCCTCTGAAGTAGATGACAACTGTGTTAGATTCACAGTGAAGAAATACCTGCTCTTCATTGTTGACTCTACAGGAGCTTCAAAGTTTTGGATGCAGCTGGGTAAGAAAGAAGACAGAATAGTAGAGTGCAGGGCAAATAATAAATATGTATTTTCTGGCTGTGCTACAGTAATGTAATTGCCACTAGGATATACCACATTTCAAGTGTCATATCTCTCTTTCTGCAATGTCTAGGATGCTGAGAAATGCAATTTAACTTTAGTAAATTCATAACTTTATTGTCATCTGCAGCAAATCTTAAGTGACTCTTCATGGTTCCTCTTCAGTTCCTTACAAATGATTATTTGACTGCCTGTCGAATAATCTCGCTCCATACTGCATTTTAAAACAATAAAAATCATTCAGATTGCTGAGTGTATGATAAGAGAAACATTTCTACAAAGTTCTCAAAGTACAGATTGCTTGTACTTACAAATTCTCTTGCTCTCATGGTTTAACCCCAGACAGCAGCTTATCCCTATGCAGCTGATTGCTCACCCCCACCCCATCTTGGGATGGAGGAGAGAACTGCAAGAATAAAAAATAAGAAAGCTCATGGGTTGAGACAATGACAGTTTGATAGAGAAAGCAAAAGCTGCACATGTAAGCAAAACAAAACAAGTAATTAATTAATTCAGCGCTTCACATGGGCAGGTCACCATCCCCAGGTAAGCACAGCTCCATCACATGTAACAGTGACTTGGGAAGACAAACACCATCACTCCTAACATCCCACTGCTGTGTTCTATGCTGAGCATAATTCCATATGGTCTGGAACATCCCCTGGTTAAGTTGAGGTTCAGCTGTCCCAGCTGTGTCCCTTCCCAACCTGTACACTCCCAGGCCCCTTGCTGGTGGGGGGAGGAGGGGCGAGGAGCAGAAAGAGCCTTGACTCAGTACAAGTGCTGCTCAGCAATAATGAAAATATCCCTCTGTTACTAGCACAAAATCAAAAGACAGCCCCATATCAGCTGCTGGGAAGAAAATGAACTCTACTCCAGTCAATAGCAGCACACCTCCTTATTTATAAGCATGATTCATCATTATACTATAGGGTCAAACTAGATGAATTTAAACAGCATTCCAGCTATGTGTAAAAGGAAGTCACATAAGATTATATTGCTGTGGTTACAGTTGATAAAGCTAATCCTCCCTGGAGATTTCTATTCTAGGGAAACAGTTATGTACAGTGAATAAGCCCATACTTCCACAAGGCCTTTAGAGAAAACTTGCTGCTCATTTTGAGGATGGCCTCTATGAAGGCCATTGACATCAAATTTAACTTGTCACTTCAATGATTAAGGCGAGGTTATTTTTGCCCTCGATGTTCATCCATTTTTTTATATGACAAAGTTCTTCAGTACAACACATATTATTTGTAAAGAAAGTGGTTTTTTTCTTTCATCATTCCCACACAGTTTATAAAAAGTATTTATGTATTCTTTTATTATGCTTAAAAATATAGTGAACTCAGCCAGAAAAAAGTGCATGTTTAAAATGTCTATCTTAGCTGAGAATGGACACTGGGTAGCTGGCAAATGCTAACCTGAACATGATAGGTTAGTCTAGTCTGCAATTTCATTTGTGGATTTACACATAATCATTGCAGGTAGTATCAAATACTAATTTGTATTTCATCAGATTTGGGGTTAATTTTTTTCATCTTGCATATATATAAAGAGCGCAGCCGACTAAAATAGCACATGAATTTATATCAGTCGATTGTCTGGCAGTTTCTCTTCTCTGTATTTGCTGTTAGTGCCAATAATGTGTTTTGGAGTTTTAAAAAGTGAGGGAGGAACTGAGACTAAAGCAATCAGTAAAGAGGAAAAAAGACCTCATAAGCACCACGGCAGCCTGTCACCTCAACCTCAGTCAAAGGTGTGGCAGTTGCAGGAACCTGATTAGCACCGCTACAAGACAAATGCAGCTGCCCATTCCTGGTCTGCAGGTGTTGCAGTAGGTATGCCATTGTCTGACAGCCAGTGTTTTCAATCAAAGTAATTATCTCCTGTAGGAAAATAAAGTGTTAGCCATGTTGTTCTAACAGCAATTACCCATCTGTAACAAGATGGGCACTTGAAGAATACCATTAAATCATTGAGCTTCTGACCCTGTGGTCATTAGATTTTCCTTTTTCATTTCCACTTGATGTCAGGTGTCTTCCTTGCTATCTGGCTAATTCTGGCTTCAGATGCTGTGTGCTTTTGAGAGTCCTAGAGATAATGCCTGAGCCCTGAAAGGCTGTTTTGTGCAGATGTGAGAGAGCTAGATCTGTTGCCCTGGTGTCAGTGAACACTGAAATGACAGTGGCCAGTCTGTTGTAGCCAGAGAACTGAGCATCAGTGCAGTAGGAAAGAGACAGTATTCGCAGAAACCAATCTGATCTAAAACTGCATGAATGAGGTTTAGTCATACATTAAATGTGTTCTAGCTGACAGCTTCAGAAACAACAACTTGCAAATCTAGAAGGCAACAGCATGTAGCAAATGCCACTTATGTTCATTTCCAGGTGAAGGATTGTATACATTATTTATAACTATTTAAAGGATTATTATTTATAATTATTTGAAGGATTGTATAAATTATTTAATATCAACCTTCAGGCAGCCAAGCTCTAACCATTTAGTGCAGAAGGGCTTACTGGACCCTTATTTTTCCACCCAATCTTGCAGTTCTCAGTCACATTAACTGGAGGTGGGAGCAGCCGCTGTCCCTAGAAAATCGTGTGTGTCTCATATTTGTCATAGTTATAAAAATCCACACACTGCATCAAACTGCATGCAAACAGAGCACTTATAATCTTCCCAAAATGCAACAGGAGTGGGTCCTCAAGGAGCTCCCATATAGAGTTTGAAATCCAGAGGAGGTTGGCTAAAGAGATGGGAGCAGGGGATTGCATAGAAATGTGCCTGAGTTCTCAGCCTCTGTGGAGATCACTGAGACACAGAAATTATGTCAGAAGTAAATTATGACATTTGATGTCACAATTTGCCAGATTTATATTAGATATTAGGAAGAAATTCTTGACTGTGAGGGTGGAACAGATTTCCCAGAGAAGCTGTGGATGCCCCATCTCTGGAAGTGTTCAAACCCAGGCTGGATGAGTCTCTGAGCAACCTGGTTTAGTGGAAGGTATCCCGGGCAATGGCAGGGGAGCTGGAACTGGATTATCTTTAAGGTCCCTTCCAACCCAAATCATGTTATGATTTTATCTGTTTGGTATCTGACTGTGCTCCTTGGCTGCCTGCCTTTCAGGTGTGTTCCAAGGACCAATGACTCATGGTGTTCAGACCCTGAAACCATAGCAGTGCTCAGTGGCAGGTGAGATACTTTGCAGAAATATAAATTTTTTTTCTTTTTAGATCATGAAATACCACTCTTTTTTTCCTAAGCCAGATTCTCATCCCACTATTTTTTTCCACTGTATTTATTGTGTTAGATAAGTTTGCACAACAATTACAGAAATGTTAATTAAGAAATAGTACAGACTTTTGTTTCTTGTATTAGGGCTATGAAATTTTTTTTTTTTTTGGTGTTGCTTCAGTTTTTAAATTTGATTTCTGTAAGAGATGGCTGCTCATATATGCAACAAATGGAAAACTCTTTGACAAATTAATTGACTGGCAAGCCAGGTTCAGTGTATGCATCCACTTTGTAATGAGTTATAATAAAAAAATAAATAACAAGGAAAGTAACTATGATTTGACCATCAAAGTTTAAGCAGGCCAGGTGACCTATGTGTGAACAGAAGAGTATATATTTGATAACTATGACATCACCTATCTACATCCCTCACATATTCTGTTAAATTAACCTTTGCCATCACACATAGGCCATAGACTGGTCTCTTCAAGCTCAAATGATCATATCTAAACTCCTTGCTAGGAGCAGCAATGTGGACTGGCCTAAAGGAGTTAGATGGTTCAGCTAATCTAAGGCACAAGGGTTCAACCAAGCATCTTGACTTCTTCAGAACTATTTTAAACACTTGTTTCCTTTCTGCCAGGCCTCTCCTGTTAGCATATTTGGTGTAAATGCAAATAACAGAGATTTGTTCTGGATCCAAGGCGGTGTCTCTGCCTTGTGCTGTACTGCAGCACTAAAATTGTTTGCTCTGAGAATATGAATGTGACTTGGTGTCCCATTATATTTGCACAACCAAGAAAGCTGCAGAACATGATGGATGATTCACTCCAGCAAGGCCAGATGAGAACCTCTAACCCTGGTTTCCTAAAAGTAAAGTCCAAGGATGGACATAAGAGATGTATGACCTCAGTTTTTAATGTTTAACATTTTCATATAACAAGTTGTGAGTTTGGACAGGGAATTGATATTTGAAAATAAATAAATATTTGCTCTAATGCACATAATTGAAATATACTTATTTCAGCTGATGGCTCTGGACTAATGAATAGCAGTGGGTTTATTGTTATGCACTGAAATACATCCCATCTAAAAACATGGTAGTCCTTCTCTTACCTGCTACTTTCTTTCTTGCTTACAGTTTTTTGTTTTTGTTTTTGTTTTTGTTTTTGTTTTCTTGAAGATTCATGTCTTTGCTCTCAGGTCTTTGCTCTCAGGAAGTGATAGAAACTAAATCTGGTGACTTCACCTGATGTGCTCATTTTCCTGCATGGAGAATAATAGAGAGAAAAAAGCCAGACTGTTTGCATGTTGAACAAAGAATAGTGGCAAATATAAACTTTTTGATAAAACCAAGAAAAAAAAAAGCCACAGTTCTAGTCTGTGTATCAGGCACTATCTCAAAAAAAATGTATCTTTAGTAAGAATTCTGGGGATTCAATCTATGGCATCTTGTTCTTTAATAGGCTACTATATAGGAAACTGGAAAACTGTATGCATACCAACATATGTATAAAGCTTTAAACTGACCATCTGAATTCAAAGAAAACAGGTGCTCTTAGTGTCTCAAAAAAAGAAGCATTTCTCACTTGTTTCTCACTATTTCTCAGTAGTTTCAAGGCTCCATTTCATGTACATATAGCTTAAATATTCTCTGATTAGTGCATGCTTGTCTGAAACACTGGCAGTGAGCCTAGAGAAAAATGCCACCTTGAATCATATTATGTGGTGCCATCCTACAGGTACAGCACATTCCAGTGTGACACAGCAGCTCAATGCACTCTGTACTAGCTAAATAAGGAAACAGAGATAATCCATAATTTCATACAAAGTACCATTGGTAAGAAAGAGACTGTAGAAGAAAAAAAAATTACTTTTCTCTGTTTCAAGAAATAAGGGCTTTGATTCTCTTTCACTTTTAATCCTTTTATTTAAAGGCACACGATCCATTCAGTGATTTGTTTTTTTCTAGAAGAAAGACTGGTAGACAGGATCAGAGTAAACTCGATGCAGAAAGATTATCCTCTCATCTATGGTGTCAAGAGTCCAGATGCGAGTAAATTAGAAGTGCCAGTCTAGGCTGTGTGCTTGGGTTGGCTGCTGATGCAAGAAATGAAAAGGGGCTCCTGAGTATACAGGCACCTCTGCTTGAGGTGGGTTCCTATGACCTTTCTAATGCCATGCCAGGGATTTCTTGCATATACACATCACTGTTTTTGCAATACATGATCACTTGCTCAGTTGCTACAGCCTTCTCTCTAGAGAAGACAAATAGTCTAATCCTTGAGAGGCCTTGTGTCTGGAGTCATACTGTTGTGGTGGAGATGTAAAGGGAGTGAAAATATATAGCAGGATGTCGCAGAGTAATAGAAACAGAAATAACAAGGAACAGAAGGTTCAGGTAGGATACTGTTAGGATAGTTAGAAGAGATGGACAAAGTTAAGGAGAATGGAATAAAATTAGATTTAAGAGCTTAAATAATGGAAGGGAAGACATAGTACCTATTCAACTGAGGAACCTTTTCTATAAGAGAAACCTTTACTGCCATGGGGTATCAGTCCTGTTTCTGACCTGCAGAGTTATTTTCCAGCCTTCTGCTTGTATTTGAGTGGCTAATTTCCATGTTTCAGGAATCCATGCTTCAGCCAGAAGCTTTCAGGTATATTGTTCATCATGTCATCATCATTGGAGCAGGAAGGCTCCTGCTGAAGCAGTATATCTTCTGGAAATTAAATAAAAAGTCCAAGTTTAGCCATGTCCTTGAGGGAAGAAAATGAAAATTTTCAGATATAAGAGTGAGTTGTATTTGAGAAAATACTCAAAGAAGAATGTGAATTTTGAGCAGCTCATGAAATAACTTTTATTAAGTAGCCTCTTAACCAGAATTGCTTCCCCCCCCCCCCCCTTCATGTTTTAATTTTAACTTCCAGTGTATTCATATGTGTTAGGTTTAAAAAAATGTTTAAAGTGCCTTGGGTAAAATTTTGGTTCACATGTGACATCTGGAACGATGAGAAAATATCAGAATTGCCATCAAGGCATTACCATTGTGAGGTGTTTATTTCTATTTCTATTTTTTTCTGCTCCTTGGGAGTCATTCTCAGTAGTTTACAGCATGTAGCAAAATCTTTCTTTACTGACTAGTTGTGAAAGGATGGGAGTTTTCATATGCAATAAAATAATGAGATACCTTTGGAAAATAAGACCTTAGAATTGTTCCATCTGCCCATAAGATATAAGAATTCATAAAGCATTTCAGTAAAACAATAGAAAATTATTTTAGTGCTATTGTTAATTCCTTCTGCTGTGCTGATTTACTTCTGTGAACAAAGCAACCAGAAAGCTTAATAAGTTTGGGCCATCAATAATCTGCATGCCAGCAACACCCAGATGCTCATTGTAAGACTTTGCAGAAGATGATAAAATCTATAATTTCCTTTAAATTCATTACAGTTTTGTTTATCAAGCAGAAGTGTGCCACTTAATTATTCATTCTTCTGCAGAAGCTAAGGAAGATCCTTTACCCTGCTTTAAGTAGTAGGTTCAGAGCTCACTTAAAGTGCCTCTACATAGACAACCCCCTCCAATGATTATATAAAGTAAAAGGAAAATTATTAAGATTCCTATGAGAACAAGTTAAGCTTGTTTTTCTACTTTTAAAGAAGAATTCTTCATTCTATTGTTTCTTGTATTTATTGTTCAATGTCAGTGAAGTGCAGATTCATTATAATGCATTAGTACTAGGTCAGTGAGTTTTTCCTGCCAATCTATACTGCTGTCTCTTACACAAACACCTTCAAACACACTGTCTATAACAACACTTCTACTCCATGACACAATACAGATGAACTTGATTACTCTGTATTTAGTTAAGATTCGAAATGGTATTAAAAAAATGGAAAATATTCTTTTCATGTGACAACTGATATAAAGAAGCATAATTTTAGCTATCACACATAGTTGATTTATTGTTGGTGACATAGAAAAATGTATATTTGTACTTACCCACAGATATACGATGTGTGCATCACTCTGATACAGGATGTGAACTGATGCAGAAATTCAATAAGATATGTGGAGCTTAGCAGAAGGAAAGGAACTCATCAAAGTCTTCATGTGATCAGTTACCATCATGCAACTTTTATTTTAGCTGTATGCATACATTAGATGCCATCAAATGTACATGGAAATATGCCCAACTTGGAAGCCTGATATACTGTAGAATATAAAAACAGATTCAATTGCAGCATCCTATTTCTGGCAGTAGAATTCTGATCCTAAAAACCCTTAGGGGCTCAATGTGACAGAAACTGGTAGTTTATATTTTAAGTATAGATTTTAAATGCTGTATATTTTTGCATTTTGACAATTTACACTAGAAAGTGAGAGATGGAATCAGTGGATGTCTGTGTTAAAGAATTATTCAGGTGGAAAACATGATCTCCTGAAGGACTCAGCAGGGTGGACAGGGATTTAAACTGGTCACAGTGAATTAGGATGGAAAAAATAGAACTGCAATAAAGCTACAAAATTTGGATCTGGTCTTAGATTTCAGACATCGCTAAATTCTGAGTAAGTATGTTTTGCACACCTAAAGTACCAGCAATAGCAGGCCCAGCTGCCACCATGCAAATGGCACAGTGTGGGAGCCTAGAATATTACAGAAGTAGCAGACCACTCATATACCAGAGTTTGTGAGTTTTCCCCAAATTGTTTATACAACAGCATCCCTAAGATGGCTAAAAGGTCAATTCTTCCTCAGTGTGACAAGTGTAGATTTAGATGACTGAGGATGCACTCTAGGGGTTGAGTCATTCAAATTATGAGATCAGGGTGAGGACAGAAATCTACTTCAGCTGATGCAGAAATATGTCTGTAAACAGATACATATATATACACGGACATTGACATTTATGATTGTTGAAGTCTTCCGCGTGGATTCTGTTGCTGTTGCACACCTATTGCTTTAATCTGATTTTAGGAATGTCTTTGCATTAGCAGCCTGGAAATTATCTTGCTTACTTATTTTTTTATTATTATTCAAAACATATGACTTCACGTGGTGTAATACATGCTCTGAGCACATTCCAATGAATTGTTGGGTCCTAATGGGAGCTACCTGAGAAATTTTAATCTTCAGACACTAACTGTAATGGCTTGGCAGCTTAAGCTTAGAAGATATCTATAGCTAATGCCATATCCAACTGCTGGTTTTATTCTTCCAAGACAGGTATAATGAGTTCCATGTAGTGTCTGAAGGTCTTCTCCACCTTGGCATGAGTACCATCTGCTACAGCTCTACTCAGTTTATAAGTATCTCTGTAGGATGCTTACATGGATTTTTATATACTTCAGTGTCATAGTTTAAAGGTAAAACATCTACTTATTTAGCTCTGAAAGTAATATTTCCAGGTTAGAAAATGGGGTTGAATGAATTAATGCAGTAGAAAGTCTGTGTACAAAGAACAGCATCTACAATAAAGCACAGACATTATGGCAATCAGCCCTGATTACATGCCTCCTCCACCATGAGATTTATGTGGATGTGAGAGCTGTCCTTCTCTTAGATTGTGTCTTCATGCTCATTTAAGCACAGCAGCTCACATTAACTAAAGGGGGTTAACATGAGCCATCTTTCTTTTGAAGGGCAATTTGCTCTCAGAAGCTGTTTGGTGATCTCCATGCTGTGTTTTTCTCAGCTGGGCCAGGCTCAACCTTTAAATCCTTTTTCCATGCAAGCTGAGCAGTGCAGCTGCCCTTCCTAGCACATTCCTCTCATTAGCTACAGCCTGGGAGCTTTCCTCAGCTTCCCCGACTACATGGAAAATTCAGTTCAAGGACTTCTGCTCCCCTGGGGACTTCTCATGCCTTCACATTTTCTAAAAGCATCCATTCCCCAGTGAAGCTATCTAGGCATTGCAGCAGGTCTGTCTTTCCCTTTATTCCCTGTGGTCTGAACTACATCAAGGAAAGTACAGAGTTGACCAACGTGCATTGAGAAATATCATTTGCAGTGTTGCTTGGGCCCCAGATTTGTGCTGTAGAGGTTCCCGAAAGAAGACCATGATACATCATCATCTTATGTCTATTTATGACTATCATGCTCTGGCATGTCCTTTGCCCAGGATTTGTAGATGCTTTAATGGTTCGTCAGAGAGTAAAAGACCATGATCTGGATATTATTTGCTGTAGTAATTTCATGTTTTCAAAAGAAGAGTCATTGAAGACTCCCTTTTTTGGCCTGTCATTTTCGTTCTCTGGTTATCATTTTAGCTACACTGGTTACTCTGGGTTCTTTGGACATCAAGGATAGTCCCACACATTTATTTGAGAAAACCTTTCAAAATGTTCCATAGCTGCATCTCTCATTCATTTCTAGCAAATAAAGCTGATGAAAAAACATACTGTTGAGAATATTTATGCGGCATACAAAATATTAATGACTGACTTTTTAGTACCAATAGCACTGAAAGCCAGCCAATCTGATGATGAAGCAAATATCTCTATCTGCATGTGAAGAAAGAAGAAAAATTCATAAATTAAAAATTAAAAGCAAGAAATGAATATAGTACTGTGTACCAATATGTATATGAATTTAATTGTCATTTCACCTGAAAAAAAGCGCAAATAACTTATTTTAATTTAACCTTTTTAATTTTATAAGTTGGTTATGAGTTGCTTAAAAATATAATTGTTATATTTTTCAGAAAATATTTTAGTGAATAATTCTAGGCAATCTCTTTATAAATAGCTGAAAATAAAGGTTTTATATGATTTCCATCTTGCTTTCCTCTTCTACTCTTTAGGCAGAAGTACTCCATCATGATAAAATGACTTAGCTTTAACAATTCCAGTTTTCAGTTTCAAAAATTTCCAGATGTCCAAAAATAAGCAATATGTATCTTACACTAATGACCTGTTCTGAATCTAAAATGTAGCTCAAGTTGCCATGCAGCCACCTCTTAAACTCAGTGGGGAGAAATAAGCACTTATGAAGGGTGATTCTAGAGATCATGAGGGAAGTGGGATGAGGCCATGTTAAGGGCTCTTCACTTTGTGGGGAATACAGGGAGGAGTAGACAGCTAAATTTTATACAGTCCCATTTAGAGGGGCAGATTCTTGCACGCTGAGTGCAATGAGTCAATTCTGTGTAATTTCCACAGTGCAGAGAGCTTTCATTGCAGATCTGTTAACACAGAGTGTCAAGGGAGTACTGAGGTACTCCTACTACTCTGTCACACCTGCAGGAGGCAAGAGTGGCTTTGCTTCAGATCTGGAAAACCCTAAGCACTGGACTATGAAGATGGAAGGAACCAGACACAGATAGTGGGGCAGTTTGCAGGTCGCTGTGGGTTTCAGTGCTTGCGCAGAGGCTTGGGTGTCCCAAAATCAGAGCTCGTAAGGCTGAGCCAGTGTTTGATTCCATGTTAAGTTTCTCCATAAGTACTGAGTACTTGATGCTTAGACCTGAAAATTATTCAGCAGGAGTGCTACATGGTGAGTTTATTCCTGGATTTTTAAAGACCAAAGAAATTCTGAGAGAAAGTTAAAACTTTTCAAACAAGAGTTGACAGACATAATTTTCCTGTGCTATAATTTTCCTGCAATGCTTTCAGTTTTCCAAGCTGCCAAGGAAGTTTCTCTGTTTGAATCTGTCTGGTTCTGCTGATCCTACCTGTATCTACTGTGAATTTCTAAAGCAAATTTCCTGAAAAACTTCTAGGAAAAAATAAAGTTCCACATTAACCCATGTATTCTAACCTATGGGTCACAAAGTCTTTCAAACATATTGCCTATGATGGGAATTATGTGGCTAAATCTCTCTGTGGCACTTAGAAAATAGATTGTTACCAAAATCCTACATCTTTCTTTGCTTCCAAATGCAGATGAGTGATCTCTGAAAAAAGAACTGAAGACACATTAGTAGCTAAACAAATCTTAGTGTACATTATGAAATGCTTGTAGTTATTCTTAATTTTTCATCTTTATCCAGTGCTATTTTTCCTAGGATTTGACAGGGAGCTGACAGAAAAAAAATTGCAAAAAGTTATGGTCTACTATGAGTAAAAAAATAACTGGAAATATTTGTCTTAATTTTATTGACTTCAGTAATTACAACACCCTCTCTGAGGTCTTGTCTGAGCTTGCAAGTCTCTTTAGCTTTATCCATCATGAGTCTGACCTTTCCTTGGGGTTCTCTGCACCCTTTGGAATTAACATACCCTTTTGTCCAGGTGTCACAAATCTGACATTGCTCTTCAGACTGCACTCTTTTATCTTTATTATTTGTAGGCAGCCCTTGTGCTCATCTCCTTCCTTCTGCTGTCCCATTTCAGCACCCTCAGGTGCTGAGATCTCAGGATCTCTCTTGTGAGCAATTAGTGAAGGCTGGCAACATTGAAATGAAAGGCAAAGTTATTTTGAACTCATGAGCTCTGATCAAAATCTATAATAAGTTTCATGATTTAATGTCACCCTGACCCATTTAATTTCCAATAAAAATCATATAGCAACCGTTTATGTAACACATCATTTAAGAAAAATAAAATCAGGGAATGTAGCGTTTGAAAATACGTGGTCACAGTGCGGGGTTAATAGAGGGGGACTCATGGTGGGAAAGCTCATTGCTAGGGATTAAACTTATGTCAGCAGTAGATATCAGTACTGTAATTACAGATTATAATAATAAAAGCATAAAATGCTTTAAGTCACAGAGATCTTTCAAGAAATTACTAGTAAACTAAAAAGGATCACCTCATATTATTGTCAGTGCTTTTTTCCACAGCTGGTTTCTCAAGTGTCTTGGGGAGAGAGAGAGAGAGAAACAGCCCGGAAAGCTCTCCTAGGTACTTCAGGCATTGGTCACGTCCTAAGGATAAGACAGGAAGAATCCAGTCTTGTGAGAAATGGGAACTTGTCTCAGTGGATAACCAGCAACTAAATATGTAGTGTTAACTTGGTTATCTATCCTTGGATCAAATTTGGTTATCTACCCCTGGATCTACATGTCTTTATTTGGAACCCAAATTAACAGGGTCAACATTTAAGTGGCACAAACTCTGCATCTCCACCTTCAAACCTGTAGTAGCTGCTCCACCCCTCTGGAGAAAGCAAACTTACTAAAAA